CACACACACACACACACACACACACACCTCGTACAGCTAGAATACATTTACTTTCTCTCATCTGCAGACTCGCCCATGTATTCAGCAAACCCTGTTCTCCCTCCTTTCTCTCTCTCTTTTAATCTACTTGGCGACAAAAGACAAAAAGAAACGTTGCAGCAAAAGAATGGAGTGTCAGAGAAAAAAAACAGGGATGAAGGACATGAGCAATTCTATACAGTACACAGACTATTTAAAATAACAATAAACATCAAATAATTCAAATGCAGGTCAGTAATAACGATTAGTTTATTAAAATGACATTTTAAAACAACTGCACAATTTGTCACTGAAAACACTGGCATTTGGCTACCCTGAAAACATACGAGTCTTGGGTCATATTTCACCTTCAAATCCAAAGAAAATATATATTTTTTAAATCTAATATTTTTTTCTTTTGATTTTAGGGTGAGATATGACCTGACATCAAGGTCAAGGACAATCGTAAAATGTAAAGACAATATTTAGAGTATCATGTACAAAAGAGGAGGGGAAAGAGCACAGAAGGGAAAACAAAACAATGTGCTTCATGAAGCATAATACAAAACAAAAGTAACATAAGCAGAACAAATTTCTTATGAATAATTAAGAGTGGTTTTAAGAATGATTTACACAGAAATGTTTGTATTTAAAGTATTTTTCTACAATTTACATAAGAAAATGTTTTACAATTTCTACATTGAAAATATCTTAAAATTCTCTGCTTGACAATGACTTACACAACAATGGTTTTACAAAACATTTACATAGAAATTTTTGAATGAATGAGTATAAATGAGCTATGACACAGGAGCAAATAAAAGCATTAAACTTGTATTCAGACAGGTACTGAACACACATACTATCATGTATACTGAACATGTAAGAAGGGCTAGCCGTGTGTAGCTGAATTGTGTAGAGATGGAGTGTGATGGATAGACAGATAAAGTAACAAGAGTTATATCAGCTTTCAGCAGGTCAGCCTCTAAATCCCATAAATGAGCGGACAGCAGGGGAACACGGCACCCAGAACAAACATCTCACCCACTGAGCAAGAAGCTTTGACTGTGGTCGTTCAATAACATACACAGAACCATACATCAATAAAACTGTACAACCATCAGGTGGCCATTAAAGTATTTCACACACACCCAAACTCCAACCACCTCTCAGCTGGAGTCAGTCAACATACAATCATTCTTTCTAATCATCAGAATTCAAAAGATGAAAACTGTAAATTGCCTACATAACTTTTTACATAACTGAAATGTATTTTGGCTGGACATTGATGCGGTCCAAAGCTCCATATATACAACTATGAACATGAAAAGACTGAATAATTCTTAAATGCATATGAATTTAGTTACAAATTAATAAAAAACAAGGTTAATCTGTAACAATGTGGGACACTAAAGCTCTGATATAGATTTTTTTTAACCACTAGAAAATCTGTCATATTCAAGCTGGGTTGTCATGTGACAAGGCCTCATTTACTTGGTCGGAATTGTTAGAGTTGAAAATTGTTGTGAAGATGAAAATGCAAATTACTGAAAATATTACTGCAAACTACTCTAATTTACCTTAGTCCTAAAAATACAGTATCAGCTTGCAAGGCAAAAACTCACAGCATGTATTTGGAACCACAATGTCTTCGATGAACCTCAAGCTGGTAAATAGCAGGTCAGATTAAAAGTTTCATTGAATTTAGCCTCCAAACTGCAAGGGCATTCATAACCGAAACCGTCGGCATGTAGACTTCATTTTGCAAGCAGAACCTCTTTGTTCAGTTTTGCTGGCTGGAAAGTGATGTGTGCCATAGAAGAGCTGTAGCTTTCCTCCCAGCCACAAGGAGGCAGCTGTTTTCTCATGCACAGACACACACAATGGCTTTGTTCCAAATGAAGGTATAGGCAGAAAAAAGAAAAAAAGAAAAAGTGAAATCGCACTGTGCAACCTGTTTTACTTCCACAATGTCATGCATTTCAAAGTGAAACAGAATATTTAGTTATGAAAACAAGTTTGGTGGGACTTGATTTTATCAATCTGGTATTGACCGAACTGGTTTAAAAGTGAGCGTTGCATTCCAGAATGGAGTTAAAATGAATGAGAGTTTAATAAAACAATGCACAAGTAGCTATTTGTCAGTTATCGAACAGCCTGCACAGTTGTCAGCAGAAAAGCAAAGTAATTTCCCAGGAAGAGCAAATTACTGTATTTTGGGTAAAACTTTATATTAGGGAACACATATTCACAAACAAATAACTGTTTCCCTAAATAAACTCCTAATTTGCTGCTTATTGTAAGCAAGTAAGGTAGTTGTTGCAGTAGTGATGTTTAGGTATTAGGTAGAGTCAAGAGATCTAGAATAGGGACATGTATTAATATGTGCTCTAGAAGTACTAATAAATAGCCAATATGCTAGTAATATGCATGCTAATAAGCAACTAGTTAATAGTGAATAATGTTTCCTAATCTAAAGTGTTACCGTAAAATAAAAATTAAAAACACAAAAGCCAACATTTTTTTTTTTTGGAATAACAAGAACATATGCCTGTAAATTGTAGATGCAATTTTGATAATGTGAACATACCTTAAGACTTTTAGTAAAGAACATTTAGTAAACAGGGTCAATTGAGGCAGCGTAGACGTGCTAGTTCCTGATGAGAAGTGGCTTTAAACAGTAGGCAGTATAATTATCTTTTTTTCATAATTATTGTTTTGGCCAAATTCCCAGGCAGCATGTATGCTTTACAGAGAAAGCAATCCTAGAATGCAACAAGCTCAGAGAAAAAAAAAATACATCCAAGATGGTAGATGACAGAAATACTGGAAGACTTGTCCAATACATGGAAGAAATGGACAAGTATCCCATGCACTTTGCATGAAGTGCTATCTGTGTGGCATGTTGAGTTGCTGCCTATGTAGACACAAGGATACAGTTCATCTAGGATGCTGCCTTAATGCAGGCAGCAAATAAAGTACACTAGGTTTTGGAACAGTCAATAACAGACATACATACACTCTACAGCACAGTGTCCTGCATGCCATCAGCATCGTCCAGAACATTGTTGCGTCTACTGCATGCATCAAGTAGTTTTTTGCGAGGTCCAAGTGGGATATGGATGCTAATGAGGTCTTGCTCAGAGCACAACAGCAACGCCTCCAGGTCCATCTGCTCTCTATGGAAAATGGAAAGGAAGTCACTCAGTCCCTGAGATGCCAGGAATACTTCTAAAGGACCTGACGATGGCTGAAGCTCGTCATCCTCCTCCTCCAAACCCAGGTCTCCTTCCTCCCATGGCAAATCCTACAGGATGCCGCCACATGAGAACAATTATCATAATTATCATAAAGCCCCTCTTCCAGATCTAGATGCAGTGTCTTCTCATAAACTGGTTAGATCAACAGATTTACACTGACTGATTCAGATTAGCACATTTACATTAATTCAGATCAACAGATTTCTATAACTTACACTAAATGGCCAAAAGTATCTGGACACCCATTTAATAATCAGGTTTGCATAATTTAGTTATACTAAATACTAAAAAGTGTGTGAAGTCAAGCATGCAGTCATTCAATCTTCATGGACAGCCATTTGTACTAAAATATAACCCTTTTTGTTCCAGTATGATGTCCCTGTGCACAAAGGTCAATAAAGACATTATTTACTGGTGTGGAACAACTTGAAAGGCCTTCACAATCCCCCTGCCCTAAACCCCACTGAACACATTGGGGATTAATTGGAAACACAGACTGTAACCCCGACCACATGGCCCAACATCCAGTGCCAGACCATGTCTAATTGGGAGCAATTCCCTGCAGTCATGTTCCAAAATCTAGTGGAAAACCTTCCCTGAAGACTGGAAGCTGGGAGCAACTCCCTATTAATGCCCTTGGTACTGAAATTAAATGATTCTTTGGGTGTTCACGTTTGGCCATGTAGAGCAGGGATGGGTAACTACAGTCCAGTAGAGCCATTGTCCTGCAGAGTTCAACTCTATCCCTGATCAAACACACCTGCCTATACATTTCTAGTAAACATGAAGACTTTTTTGCTTAGATTGGGGATGGAGCTAAACACTGCAGGACAGTGATCCTCCAGGACCGGAGTTGCCCATCCTTGATGTGCTGCAAGTTCAAGACAGCCAATATTAAGAGTCTAGTTCAGGGGTAGCCAACTCGCTCCTGGAGGGCCATCCTGGAGAATGTGGCCCCAACCTGAATCAAACCTGATACACACCTGATCCAGCTAATCAAGATCTTCTGGATTACTTGAAAACTACAGTCAGGCGTGCTGGAGTAGGGTAAGAACTGAAGACCTTAAGAAGGTAGCCCTCCAGGAGCATTAACTTAAAACTAATCAGATGAATCTAGCACTTAATGATTCAGAAAGGTGCTGTAGGGATTAATAGGAACAAGTGGAATCTGTATGGTATCTGCTGATTTTTGTTTGTACCTGCAAGTTCTTCTCTTGGAGACTCAATGAGCTGCCTATGCTGCCTTCATCAAGACTGGGTGATCGCAGCGGCAATCTCCCCCGTAAGCGGACATTCGGGACCCGTCCCACTGGTTCACTCCCCACCACACTGCCCTCATTCCGTCCCATTCGGAACAACCCATCAGTCACATAATTCCGACGGAATACCATGGTACCGAGTCCTGGGCGGTTGAACAATGAGTCCCGACCCGAGTCTGTACTTATTTCGGAGTATGCAGCATCATACAGACCTGGATCACTGAGAGCCCGGGAAACAGTGTCTACCTCATCGTCATCATCATCTGGCCTGATGTCCTGTTTACCAGAAAACATGTTACGGATGTTGAGCCGAGGGCTGGACTGCTGTCGTCGGTCGACATACGTACCCTGCTTCAAGAACATGACATCATTGCCCAGCTGAAGACCAGAGAGCGAGCGAACACTCCTGCGCCCATCTTCGGATATCTTGAATGTTCCATCACCTTGCTTCTTCTTCTCAAGACGCCGCTGAATCTTGGTCCGGCCTCTAGTTGTGGACTGAAGCGTTGCCTGTAAAGAGAACTTTATCATTGTCATATTCTTTGTCATACTTCAAACTGTATACAAACTTGTTAGCATTGCCTCGCACACATCTAGAAACCCTATTTGAAGACTGACTACTGTTAGTGAACTAGCTACTCTTATAAGGAAGCAAGTTTTAATTTAGCAAATGCTTTTATTTAAAGCAATATCCCAGCATCCTGGGGCTTTGCACAAGGGCATAATGGTGATAAGTCATGTGGGAACTGAACCAGCAACTGCTTTAATCCACTGCCAAGTGTTTAACAGAGTTCATGTATATGGACAGCCCTTTCTAAATTACAGGCTTACATATTTTAGTTACACTCTTTACTAACGAGCATAAAGTCAAGTCATGCAATCTCCATAGACAATAATTTTTTTTTTTACCATTCCACCATGATGATGCCCCCTTGCACAATGGTCAATAGAGAAAGCCACCTGCCCTGAACCCCACTGAACACCTTTTAGATAAATTAAAAACGCAGACTGTGAGCCAGGCTACAGTCTTATTGGTAATGTACTACATTCTTATTCAGGGTTGTCCAATCCCGGAGGGCCAATATCCTCCAACCTGCCCAAACACACTAGAATGCTGAAGAACTTGATTAGCTGGTTCAAGTGTGTTTGATTAAGATTGGAGCTCCGCAGGATAGTGACCCTCCAGGAATAGGTTTTGGAACAGAGCTTTATAACTTGCTTGTCTATATTGACCTAATGGTTAAGTCCATGAAGCAAAGGTTTTATGTTGAGTGTTACCAGTTCTATGCCCTTTAGTGTTGCTCAGGCACAGTACCTGTGAGTATGTCATGTTGGAGTCGAGGGTGTTGAACTGAGGGAGCCTTTGACTCAGGGTGCTGCTGAAACTGCTGTAACTCATTGTATCTGACGTGTCCATTGCAGCACTCTCTCTCAAGAAATGCTTCTCCATGCGTTCGTGATGCCTGCGCTGAAGCTTTTCACAGTCCTTAATGCGTTTTTCTGCATTACGGAAGGCACGGTCCTTTAATTTGCTCACCAGTCTGGGATTGATGGTGATCTGTTTGGCGGCGATAGTGTCCAGATATCGCACACAGTCCATGTGGCTCCTAGAGGCTGCCATGTCCAGTGGTGTGTGGTAGTCATTGTCCAAGCACCACACATTGGTGCCAAATGACACCAGAAAGGACAGACAGTTGAGATGGCCATTAGCTGCTGCCAGGTGAAGAGGAGTGTTTCCCCAAATATCACATTTATCTGGATCTCCTCTGTGGACCAAAAAAACAACAGCGGATCGGTTCCATCTAATTTACATTGTTACATGGTCAAAATTATTGGTTGATGGACATGGGTTTGTCAGTGACTGATACCAGTAATGATATTTAGAGAGCATGGTGGCTGATGGCCAATATATAACACAAATTAATAATGAAAAATTAGATGTTGACAAAATATTTATGCAAAATGTTTTTTGGCCAATGCGCTCAAAATGGCTGATTAATTGGCCTTGCCAATACACTGATCAATTACTAGTGAAAATACAGGGTGTGTGAATACATGTGAATGTACCCATGTGCATGTCGGTGCATGATAGCATGCGTTCATGTTCTGTTGTGTGGCAAGGTGTTGATCTGAATACGTAACATGATGCTTTGGAGCTCTACTTACCCACTGTACCACACATGTACACACACCCACACACATTATGCAAACTGCTTTTGTGGCTTACCTCTCGATGTCATTAAAAACTGTGCACCATGTAATGCATTCATCATCTTCAATGAAAGAGACCTGTAGTATTCATTACCTACCATACTGTTACAGACAATTCGTTTAATTTGTGTTTCATTCATGAGGCACTATGTTGACAATTTAGCACAAGTGCAAAACTCTGTTTATTGTAGGTTGGCATTACATTGAGAGCATGTTAACCAGTCATCATGGTGTCAAGATTATGTATGTTTGCAATGGCCTGTCAACAAACTGAAGTGCAACAGACCTTAATTAAGACAAATGCATTGAAAAGATGCTGTATATATACTCTGCATATTTAATAAGCTGTCTGCTCTCACTAAGGTCCTCTTTTAGTCTCAAATTGTAATATCTGCAAAGCTATAAATGGCAACCACCCATTAGCAGAGACCAGCAGATTAAAATACTACAGAGAGCAAAAACGTGAAATCCTGAGGTGTATAATGGTGCTGACATTCAAGTTAACAAAATGCCAACAGCCAAGGAAACAGGCAGGCGGGAAGAGGAATAGCCCTAATTCATTATGTTGACCTTTAACTGTGAACATTAACATCTTTCTCTCTGTCTGGCCATGTGTAAAATTCCTCTCCATGAACGTGAATGCAGCCCTGGACTCTCTTTAAAGACTCAGCAGTAAAACTTACTGCTCATTAGAAATGTAGCACAGCGCTTGTCTGTACTCTAGACATATTGGAGCCGTGATGCTCAAATGGGTGATGCAAAGTCTGTTTTGTCGATCCCATTATTGATTGTTCCTAGTAGTGGTAAAGCAAAATAATTATGCTCTCAGCTACCAAGAATAGTGTATTACTCAGATCTTTTTTCATAATAATACTAGAAAAATTGCTACGGAATGACTTAACTTTTTGGGTGGCGTTACATACCTCTCCTCTCCAAACACCTGACTCCATTAATTAATCTAAAGCCCATGTTTCATAATCCATAATTCATAATCAACTCCTGATGGATAAAATCAAGTGCCTGCCATACATTTTTCTTGCTGAATATTTTGTTTTACTCAGAAATAGGATGGAAATAAGCAAAATGTGTTAAGTTAAACATGCTTTACAAATACAAATCCGTTCCATGAATGATTTGGAAAATATATGGAAAGGCAAAAACATTCCGTCAATTCCATGACATCCAAATAAAAGCTATAAAAACTATAAAAATCAAAGTGATCCCCTCTCCTAAACACACACTTTGTGAATCATGAACTCTAAACGCTGAGTTATTATGACTCAAATTGCAGTCGCTTCTCTTTGTGAACATGATTCAGTAACAGATCTGGTTCAGTCAGAGACCTGGAGGGACTGATGCAGAACACTAATTAGAGAACAGTGAGGGTGTTCACAGAGCAGAACATTTAGCTTCCATTATTAACCTGGCCAGGAGATAAGAGGCAGGTTATTTAGATCTAATTACCTAATGACTCGATAAACAATACAACACTAGTGCTCACTCCAAAAGCCAGTTCTAAAAAAGAATAGAAAACTGTGCCATTATTCACTTTCCCTCATGTTTCAAACACATATGATGATATTTTCCTTGGATGGCTGGGTGGAGGGCTAAATTATCTTAATGCAGATGTGATCTGATACAGGGGAACACAGAACTGCCATCCTGTTAATGAAACTGAATATGCCAAAACATAACCAGACCTGAGAGCATTGTATATCATATTAATTATTTTAATAATGTTTAAACTCTTAAAATTACATGTTTCAAGTAGAACCAAATAACCATTTAAATGCATTAAAAATGAATAAATAAAAGAAATGTTCACATGCTAAGATTTTCAGATTGTACACTTTTAGATTGTGTACATTGTGTAGATTGCAAAATATATACTGTATTTCTACACAATGTGTTTTAGGTGGAGTCTGACCCATCAGAAGCTTTACAGATGTTACTATACTAGGTATTTCTGAAAAGAACATGGCTAGAATTTCAATAACAACCGCCTTCTAGAATTAGACTTATCAGATATTACCAAAATCTAAACAGAAAAAAACTCTTATTATTATGTAATTTGGTGTCTCGAAATTTTAATTCTTAAATTAAAATGTTTTAAAGAATAAATACATTAATAATTATTAAAAAAAAAAATATTCTCCATAAATGATTCACGCATCACTCACCCTCGTGCCATCACCAGTCTGAGTGCGTCCAGGTTGCCGTGGTGCGCGGCCCAGAGCGTCGGCGTCATTCCATCCTCATCCGGTGCGTTCAGATCTTTGCGCGTCGCCTCTTTCAGCAGGTGCAGGTGACCGTCTCGAGCCGCCCGGTGGTATTTGTCGTTCATGGCGGCGGCTGAACCCTCTGACCCGGCTCACGGACGGTCATTTGGCGTGCATTGTGCGGGTATGGCGAGATTTCACGTGCGCTTCTAGCGTCTCCACTCGAGGAACTGCAGGCACGCTCGAGCGGTTGCTATGGGAGGATCCCTGGGATGGCCACGCCCACTTCCGATCAGCGCACACCTGACATATGAGAACTCGGTGACACATTCAGGTAAAATCACACTCTAGTATATTACAAGAATGATAAATATTGATGCAGGAAATAATGCAACGATTTGACACGACTGCCCGTTATATTTAGATAAAAACAAAACGGGCCACTGGTATGAAGGACACTGCAAGTATATATATATATATATATATATATATTAATTTGTATAAATATTATCTATTTTATATATTCATCCAGCCTGTAAAATTCTATTATTCTCCGTTGAGGCTACTCCCTGCAGCTGAGAAAATGAATACACAACACAAACATTAAACTAATCCAATCTAAACAGAGGTAAACCCTGCTGTGACCTCAGCATAACCTCATTCTAGCAGATCTGACGTTTTTGGCCACAGCATTATCATGGGAAGACTGGACTTGTCATTCTAATTTCTAAGGCTATTAAAGGTCTATTGAAAGTGCATGCTATTTTACCTTCATTACCTTTAATCCAAATGTGATCATTTGCGCTGCCTCTGAAATTTTTTGGGAATGACATTGCAAATCACTTATTTTCCCATGTCCTCTCTTCTAAGTGTAAGTCCCATCCTGCATTTGTCTCATTAAATATCCTGTTTTATTCAGAGAGACATAATATTGCCTATTCAGAGATTATACAGTATGTTGATTTTAACCAATTTCTGACATATATTGGTTTTGAACAAATGGCATTCAAGAGTTTTTATAATATGTCTATACATGCAGCATTTCCAGCTTTTTTATTTTTGCTTCAGTTTATATATACAGAGTTCATTCACACCCCTCCAAACACAGAACACTATTACAGTAAAAATAACATAAAAATAATAAACACACACTCCTCTCACTGCTCACGAGGTCAGAGACCTGAGGGTTATGTGTCCGTTCTCATGGATTGACTCAGAAGAAAATGAAGCAGAATGTGTCAGAAATAACAGAACTTTTGACTGGGCAGTGTCAATTCATCCATATATACACAACACAAATAGGTCAGAAAAACAAAACCTTTGATTTTACTGAATTACATTTTAGAGAGAAAGTGTCAAGTTGAATTAAATCGGTGTGATTGTGTTCAGTTTGGAGAAATGGAGTCCGTTTTGTTGAGTTGATTCTCTCTGTCATTAAATTCTCTGGATCTCAAACAGCTTGACATCAGTGTCGTACCAAACAGGAGGATCCTCGTTACTAAAACAAGAAGAAAAAAAATGTTTTTCCTGTTTTATGAGACATTAGCCACATTTCAACATATAAATACATGCAAAACATCACACCGATCAAGTCCTAATAAAATATATAATACAATTAATTTGTGTGACTTTCTACTCCGAGTGTTATTTTGAGTGTAGCTTCTGCATTGTCCTGTAGAGGGAGACAGAGAGCAGGACTCACCGTAAGTAGATGATGCCCCACATGTATGTGCGGAACCACAGAGCCGTGCCCTCATTGGCCTGGTACTTGCGGATGAGGATGGGATGAGGAACCGGCAGCAACCCCACCAGAGTCCCGTGCTGCAGAAACTTCAGGATCTCAGACTCGTCCGTCAAACCTCTACAAGAACAGCAAGAGCATCCGCACTCAGTCAGGGGAAAATGTAAAAGTGTAACACACATCCTTTAGGCTTCAAAACTGTAAAACCACATTGAAAATCTGGGATTAAAATATAATTTAAACCTGGCATTTAACAGACTTCTAGGATTGTGAGGCATTTAAACCAATATAATGATATAAAATGAAGAAATATATTAGATTCTGCACTATTTCTATGCGATTAGGCAAATATACGATGCTCTTTGCACGTCTCAAATCATGCTGAAGAACAGGAACATGTTTTTGATCGTGTCAGCTCATTAAAGCAAAGGAGAATACTATCTCAAAATTCGTTCACTTATTAAGCTAATAATAGAATTTGTAATGAAACCATTTGCATTAAATTACAACAGAAGCATTTTTACTAGTGCTCTCAGATGTTTGGACCCATTGTGTATATTTAGGTGGTGCCATTTTTGTTGTGTGTCGTGTGTAAAACAGCCTGTCTGAATGGCCAGGTTCCTCAGTATTAAATGATAAATATGTGTATGTGGCTCTCACTTGTCTATGCAGATTTTCTCCACCTGGGGCACCAGCACCTGCAGGAGTCTCATTATAGTCTGCAGAGGAAGTTTACTCTTCCAGGAGAGGACCTGAAAGAGAGCATGCAGAGATTGGATGTGATGAATGTTTTGGATAGGAAAACATTTAATTTTCTTTCTGAAAATGTTCTCACAAATATTATAGTCTATATGCGGTCCACACACTCATTGGTCTATACTTGAGGATTTATGACTGACCCAGTCTTGAGTAGGAGTCCAGTCTGATGAAGACGACACACGTTTCTGACTCCCATCACAATCAACGGTTTCACACTTCTAAGGAATTAAAAAAAAAAAACATTTTATTGATATAACCAGAATAAAGTACTGTAGATTAAATGTCAGGGTCATCAGGCGATTCTGTACCTTTTCATCTTCACCTGAGGTCGGCTCAGTGTCTCTGACTCGTGTCTCAGAGCTGTGATCTGATTGGCCGTGGGTCGAGTCACTCTGCTGCAGTAAGAGTGTCATTCCGTCCTCAGAAACTTGTGATGTTTCTGTTAGTTTATCAATGCCTACAACATAACCAAAAAATGTCATATTTATTTTAATGCCATGTCACAGCAAGGCCATTTTTATGGCAAGATCAAAGTGAATAACAAAAGTCATACAAATAAAAAAAATGAAGTAAAAAAAACAAACAAAAAAACATCATAAATCAACAAATAAGCTGTAACATTACCAATACCAGCAACACTAGCAGTTCCCATCCAAAGTAAACTTGTGTGAAAATTTGGAATATTGCATAAAACATTTCCGAATATAGCAATGTTTCCATTGTTCAGAGCACAAAATTATGACTTCCTGGAAAACTATTATTATTATTATCATCATCATCATCATCACTAAGATTAAAATGATTAAAACCGGGGAAGCTACTGCAACAATTTTTTCCTGCATAATAATTGTGCCTCAGAATGTGCAGATGAAACGCAACAGCAAACGCCGTCATGTTATCTTGTGTTGCATGCAGTTGTGTGAGATTTTTGGGAAGGTAATAATACCAAATCATTTTGATGATAGACATTTCAGAATGACTGAAACAATATTTGAGATGGCTGGTTCATCTAATAACATGATCTGTTAGTCACATGAGTTTTTTTTTGTTGTTTTTTTGCACATCAAAGAATTTATTCAGTAAATGTGTTTTCACCGTAGTTTATGCCCATGTTTTCTTTTTGGATAAAGAAATCATCTGCCTCAATTGCGTGCATGTGTTATTATGCACATTTTAAGATTTTATGCACTGGATACATAATTTCCATCCAGCTTTTTTTAATGCCATATCCCAAAATTTGCATAAAAATGTGGATGGAAACTACTACTAGCTACTGAAGTTGGTTACGTACGTGGCATGGCCTTCAAGCTGGCATTCAGAGTGCCTGTTTGAACTGGTGCAGTTTTATATGGTCCTTCACTACAGGCAGTGTTGCAGGGGTTGTTGGTCTCCATGAAGACGGCATTATGGGTGCTGTTGCTCCTGCTTTTCCTCTGCAGGGCTTTCTGGATCGAGCTGACATCTGTAGGCAGGTTAGCAAGCTGGTGAAAGAGGTTGCGCTTGCGGATGATGCCGTACACCAGGTTAAAGTTACCTGATTTTTAGAAACGGAGATGAATACAAACGCTTATAAGAATTACAATAAACATTCTCAACAAATATTTGAATATGTTTGTACAGTCTGTGCTGCAAAGTCCAAAGTTGCAGGATTGCGTATGAAGGGTTGCTGCAGAAATCATGTTATATGATAAAATGATTTGCATTCGAATAAACAGACTTTTGCTGCTTCCAATTTCTTATTTTATTTGTCATTTAAAGGGAGAACTGCCACCATGACTGTGCTGACTGTATTTACAGCAGCGATGAAGCTTCAAAAGCAACTTACCATCGAACTGGTACTGAATGATGTTGTTAAAAACTTCTAGCAAAAAGAAAACCAGGTGATGGTTAACAGGTGAGCAGAACAGGAACCAGAGGCTTGAGAAAACTTCTAGCAGATGTAGTAGTTTGTTGGCTGCTACCATAGACAGACTTTTCAGGTAAGGAGACACTGAAAGAACAACAGCAATGATTTATCAGGAAGTGAAAACGATCTCTTGAAATGTATGTGCATTTCCGTGAGGAAACTCGCATACCATTGACTATAATAGTGAGCAGACAGTCATACAGGGGCTGCAGTCGCTGATGTCCACTGGTGATGATCTTATGGAAAACCTGTCAATCATAAAAAAATAGTTTGCATTTTAATGCTCAGGCAAATCAATTCTTAAATCTTATTAGCTTATATTACCAGGAATGCATGAACTGAAAAGATGCACACATTGAATGCAACGCAAGTTGCTTTGGATAAAAGCATCTGCCAAATGCATACATGCAAATATTCATTAAGGATGCATTAAGCAATTGTGGTGCATGTAGTATTAAAATGAAGCTGCGTGAGTGAGACTGGACAGCTTTAGAAAATCGGAAGACTTAAGTTAAACTTTGGGTCTGTTCTTTACAAAAAGCTATAAAATAATTTCAAAATACATGCAATATTGTGCACAAGTCATATGGACTACTTTAAATGTGCTTTAATTCAGTTTTGTTTGTAGCTTTTAAAATCTCCATCGTCTCCAATATGATGTGACAAAGGCACATGAACGTATCGGTGTTCATCTCACCACTATCAGCAGGTCGGCATGAGTCCCAGCGAACACTGAAATATCCATCGGCACTCGCACACTGTATGGTTTATTCAGACGCACCCCAAAATTCCTCTCTCCACTTAACAGCAACAAGATGAACACGCAGATATGT